CATTGTACCACTTTTAGGATATGGCAACATCCAATTACCACCCGTCGCCTAGCAAGGTGTCAAAAACTTGATGACCCAAAAAAAAAAAAGGAAAAAAAGTGATAAAGTACAGGTAGTCCTCGACTTAGAACAGTTCACTTAGTGACTGTTCGAATTTACAATGGCACTGAAAAAGTGCCCCCCAAGCCACAGCCGAGCAAGACACCTTCCTGCCCACCGGCTGCGCTCTTCGTCCTGTCTGAGGTTTTCATTGTTGTGAGCAGTGGGGGTGGGGTGGGGGGTGTTGGTTTTTATCCCCCCCGTCTGCTGGGTGGTTGCAGCAGGTTTTGGTCACTTCACATGACCCTGGGACACTGTGACCGTCATAAATATGAATCAGTTGCCAAGCATCTGAATGTAAATCACAAGACACTGGAGATGCTGCAACATTCCAGCTGATTGGCGCTCTTCTGGGCTCAGCAGAAGCCCCAGGATCAGTGCCGAGCTCCAGCTGGATCCTGGTGCTGATCCTGGCGCTTCCAATGAGCCCTGACAACCCCCAAGTGCCAATCAGCTGGAAAGCGGCACTGATCCTGGCATTTCCGCTGAGCCCTGACAGCCCTGCAGCTCCAGCCGTCTCTCGCTCAGGCTTGTGCGGTGCTGCCACCGGTTCAGCTCATTCCCCCCCCGCTACCACTTTTCTAGGGTGGTCGCGTACCACCTGCCAGGTGCAATGTCCCACAGGTGGTACCCGTACCACTGGTTGAAAAGCCTTGATCTAGAGCTGCCGGCAAGGAGTTGCCTGGGTTTGATGCTCTTTGTTGCTCCTGAGGGCCGAGCTGTCTGTCTTTAGAGGGGAAATTCCCGGGCTTCGGCTGGGCTTCCTTTTTGCCCTGGAGAAATAGCTGGATCAAAGGGTTGCCTTACTTAACTACTAATCCGGGCAAGAAGCAGCAGGATCAAATCCCTTCTGGCAATCCAGAGTCTTTTTCTGTGCCACCTTTCCATCTCCAGCATTGCTAGACTCACCGAGCCAGACTGTCCGGTTTGTTCTGCATCTTTTGAGTTTTGGGAAAGAAGAGATTTGCGGTAAACATCCTTTGTCGCCTGGTTCTTTGATCCGGGACTTAAATTTCTCCACCTCCATCATCATCATCAAAAAGTTGGAAGAGACCTTGGAGATCATCTAGTCCAATCCCTTGCTCAGGCAGGAAATCCTATACCATTTCGGACCAATGGCTGTCCAGTTTCTTCTTTAAAAACTTCCAGTGTTGGAGCATTCACCGCTTCTGGAGGCAGGTTGTTCCACTGGTTAATTGTTCTCACTGTCAGGAAGTTTCTCCTTAGTTCTAGGTTGCGTCTCTCCTTGATTAGTTTCCATCCATTGCTTCTTGTCCTGCCTTCAGGCACTTTGGAGAATAGCTTGACTCCCTCTTCTTAGTGGCAGCCCCTGAGATATTGGAAGACTGCTATCATGTCCCCCCTCGTCCTTCTCTTCATTAAAGTGGACATTCCCAATTCCTGTTCTTTATATGTTTTAGCCTCCAGTCCTCTAATCATCTTTGTTGCTCTTCTTCTCTGCACTCTTTCCAGAGTCTCAACATCTTCTTTACATCCTTCCAGCACTGCTTCTCCTGAGGTGTGTTTTTCTGCATGGACGGTTAATCGTTCCCTTTCCTCCCCCCACTTCTGCAGCCATAAGAAGGAATAAAAGATAGCAGAGGCATAATTGCAATCAAATACTGAGTTTTGTTCTCTGCACTGCTGCATCTAGTGCTGCTAGTCAAAGATTTTAAAGCCGTGGTTCGCCGAAAATGTCAGAATGACCTTTCCTGCAGTTGACAGCAAATCATAACATGAATTGTACATGTCTCACAAAGCTTGAGAGAAATCTTGGTTTTGTATGAATCAGATCCTGCTCCCAGCAGGAGGTTCACAGTGTCCTATTCCCCCCTCCTCCTACACACACACACACACACACACACACACACACACACACACTAATCCAGCTATTCTCCTAGTTTTCTAAAACTAAATCTTCCAGACCAGATTTGGAGATCCTGGATGTGAGTTCCAAAGAGAAGATTAAATAGAAATCTAACAGTACTATAACTGTGGTCTGGCTCCAGTGAGTTATTTCCTCTGTCAACGGGGTCACAGTGGTTCAGCAGAGGAACCAGCTTTTCTAGATCTCTCTAAAGGTTGTTCACATACTATGTTTTCTCTTGCACCTTTGTGTGTCTGTCCATCCATCCATCCATCATCTGTCTTTTCCCATCATGTATATATCCCCCCCACCTTTTCAGGTAACCCCCCCCCCAGAGCTGTCCTATACCTCGTGCGCTTTGTGCTTTCGAATGTGCTTCAGTTATTAATTTGTGAGGGGTAATCTTAACTTTATTAGTTTAATTGTGATAGCAATTCGATCCAGTCCTGCCAATGTGGCTTCCCATCCCTTTCTCTAATCTTTCACCTGCTCTTCCTTTCTAGCCAGCTGGGTGCTTTGGCTCTAAACTGTTAAGCTGAGTTAAGTGACCCTTGTGCTCAGATGCTCCTGGTTCCATCAGTGTTGCAATTGCCTGGCAAAACCAGATTGGCAAACCGGGTGGGGAGGTTGAACTCTTGCACCAATAAGATCCGCTGCAGACCAGGAAAGACGTTGGGTACGGGTGGAGCAGCTTGCACGGAAGCCACAGCTTGGCTCCCTTGTTCGTGGTTTGTTCATGCTTTGAAGTTTGCTTTTAACTTTATTATAATAATAATAATAAAGTTGGAAGGGACCTTGGAGGTCATCTGGCCCAACCCCCTGCTCAGGCAGGAAACCCTGTACCATTTCAGACAAATGGCCGTCCACTCTCTTCTTAAAAACTTCCGGTGCACGTGCACGTGCCCGCAGAGAGGGTTCTAGTGCCACTGGCACATGTGCCATAGGTTCGCCACCAGTGCCCTATACCATTTCAGACCAATGGCTGTCCAGTCTCTTCTTAAAAACTTCCAGCGTTGAAGCATTCACCGCTTCTGGAGGTAGGTTGTTCCATTGGTTAATTGTTCTGACTGTCAGGAAGTTTCTCCTTAGTTCTAGGTTGCTTCTCTCCTTGGTTAGTTTCCATCCGTTGCTTCTTGTCCTGCCTTCAGGCACTCTGGAGAATAGCTTGACTCCCTCTTCTTTGGGGCAGCCCCTGAGATATTGGAAGACTGCTATCCTGTCCCCCCTCGTCCTTCTCTTCATTAAACTAGACATACCCAATTCCAGCAACCGTTCCTTATATGCTTTAGCCTCCAGTCCCTTAATCATCTTTGTTGCTCTTCTCTGCACTCTTTCTAGAGTCTCAACATCTTATTCATTCATTCATTCATTCATTCATTCATTCATTCATTCATTGGACTGTTGAGGCCTTATAAGGAAGAGCAGAAGCATAGGAAGCTTTGGGGAGAGAAAAGAAATCTGTTGGGTTGCCCTGTGTTTTCACCCTGCCCGGGATGGGCGGATGGATTCTTGTTTGCCAAGAATAAGTTCTCTCTTTCCTCTTCTTTGCTCACCCACCCACCCCAGCGGTGCATAACCTTGTTTACACTAAAGCCAAGTTTGGTGGGCAGTTGGGAACAAACACTGGACTTTATTCCCAATGGCTGGCTCCGCGGACTGCTCTGATCTGCAGTTGAGGAATAGAAGAGTCTGCATCGGTGACGGCTAAAAGCTCAGGGCAGTGACAGGAACAAAACTCCTTGAAGCTGAAAAATGTGCTGTCTGTGTCAGAGTATTACAGAACACACACACACACACACACACGCCAGATCCTTTTCACTCACCTCCATCTTGGTTTGTGGTTGGTGCGCCTTCGTTTCTGGAGCCAAGCACCCTTGACTGCAAAGAGAGCATTTATGGCACCAGGGTCTCTGTCTTTCTTGTGTGGCAGCTTAGAGCAGTGGCCTAGACCAGGGATAGGCCACCTTGGCTCTTTTAGGACTCGTGGACTTCAACTCCCAGAATTCCTGAGCCAGCCACGCTGAGGGGAAAGGGAGAGGTTTCCAAGTGGAGCCATGCTGGCTCAGGAATTCTGGGAGTTGAAGTCCACCACTCACAAAAGAGCGAACGTTGCCTACCCCTGGATTAGGTGGAACCAACAGGTCCAAGATCCCTAGGGTGCTTCTATGGCTAATGAGGGGGTGTCTTTTCACTCTGCCCCAGACTTTGCTTATTAGGAAATCCCAGGGCTGTGGAGTAGATGGTGTGTATATGGGGGGGGGGAGGGAGAGAAAACATTTTGAGGAAAGCAACGGAAAGTAGCTATAGTAGACTTGCCTGGAAGCAGCCAGGTAGAAACACCCCAATAGGTAGGAGTAGAGATCTCATTGTATTCAGACAGTGGGGGGTGTGTGTGATGGGGACTGTAGTCTGACCCACCCGGAGAGGATTGGTCTACACCAGGGGTAGGCAGCCTTGGCTCTTTTATGACTCGTGGACTTCAACTCCCAGAATTCCTGAGCCAGCCATGCTGACGGGAAAGGGAGAGGTTTCCAAGCTGAGCCATGCCGGCTCAGAAATTCTGGGAGTTGAAGTCCAAGAGTCATAAAGCGACCTAGGCCTAGCCCAGATGTAGGCCACCTTGGCTCTTTTATGACTCGTGGACTTCAACTCCCAGAATTCCTCAACCAGCATGGGGGAACTATGGCCCCTTCATGACTCGTGGACTTCAACTCCCAGAATTCCTGAGCCAGCCATGGCTCAGCTTGGAAACCCCTCCCTTTTCCCTCAGCGTGGCTGGCTCAGGAATTCTGGGAGTTGAAGTCCACGCGTCATAAAAGAGCCAAGGTGGCCTACTTCTGGTCCTAGGCCCTCCGTGAACAGGATGGTGTCCATGCTGGCAGCAGCAAAGAGATGGGGCTTGGGTTTTCCTGGCAGACCTCGCGGCTTCTCCCAGCCTTGTTGAGTTGAATGGCAGCAGAAGCTTAGGTAGCGGAAGCTTACGGATCTCTCCGGGACCAGCCGCCTGGCTCTGAGTGTGGTGTTTCTCTTCCAGCAAGCCCGAGCGGAGCAAGAAGAAGAATTTATCAGTAATACCCTGTTTAAGAAGATTCAAGCTTTGCAGAAGGAGAAGGAAACGTTGGCTGTGAATTATGAAAAGGAGGAAGAATTTCTCACTAACGAACTCTCAAGGAAGCTGATGCAGGTATGTCTTCTTCTTCATAATAATAATAACAACAACAACAATGTTGGAAGGGACCTTGGAGGTCATCTAGTCCAACCCCCTGCTCAGGCAGGAAACCCTATGCCGGTGATGGCGAACCTTTTAGAGACCGAGTGCCCAAACTGCAACCCAAAACCCACTGATTTATCGCCGGGTGCCTGGTGGGCGTGGCCCACTGGGTGGGCGTGGCTGTGGTGGTCATGGCAGACTGGGTGGGTGTGGCCAAGGTGGGCGTGATCACCTCAATGTTGCTCGTGGGGAGGGACGCCTGTGGGGGCCAGGCAGGGTTGGGGGAGATCCAGGGGGTCTCTGGCAGGTGGGGCAGTGGGCAGGAGGCTCGTCCTGCGGGGTGAGGCGAGGTGAGGCGGTGCAGGGCAGGAGTGCCATTGCCACAGGGCGGCTGCTGCCTGGCACCATCGGCCCACACACACAGAGGCCAGCGAGCGCATGGGGGCCGACAGTGTCCGTCAGCAGCCACAGCCTGCCGGCCACTTAACTGGCACACTCTGGGGCTCCGCAGCCCGCTGCCAGCAGTTCTGAGCTGGACAGCTGGCTGACAGCTGGGGAGGTGATGCAGTGGGTCGTGCCCAGCAAAAGGAGAGCATGCGAGGCCAGAAGGGATGGGGGGGGGAGGGAAACCAGCCGTGCTAGGATGCATCCGGCCATATGGGACCTCGGCGAGTTAGCAGGCGTCTGGTTGAAGAGGGACGATTGTCATCTCCGGGGCACGGTGCACGTGCCCGCAGAGAGGGTTCTAAGTGCCACTGGCACGTGTGCCATAGGTTCGCCACCAGTGCCCTATACCATTTCAGACCAATGGCTGTCCAGTCTCTTCTTAAAAACTTCCAGTGTTGAAGCATTCACCGCTTCTGGAGGCAGGTTGTTCCACCGGTTAATTGTTCTAACTGTCAGGAAGTTTCTCCTTAGTTCTAGGCTACTTCTCTCCTTGATTAGTTTCCATCTGTTGCTTCTTGTCCTGCCTTCAGGCGCTTTGGAGAATAGCTTGACTCCCTCTTCTTTGGGGCAGCCCCTGAGATATTGGAACACTGCTATCCTGTCCCCCTCGTCCTTCTCTTCATAAAACGAGACATACCCAATTCCAGCAGCCTTTCCTTATATGCTTCCCACTCTTGAGTCAGGCGTTTTATAATTTTTGAAAGCCGAGCTTACCTGTACCTTCAACTTGGGGAATATTCCCCTCCCCCTTTTTTTGTTGGTAACAAGTTTTATTAATTTTTCAATTTTTCCAACCAAGTAATTAGGAAACATCGTGGAGATAAGGTAACCCACAGTCCAGTAACAGAGTCATTCATATAAATCAAAGATTACATCATTAAAGGTTCGCTCTCTATTTCCCTTAATTATTGTATCATATTCAATTTACTAGATTTCTTAATAAAGCTCAATCAATCAATACATTTATGAACACAATTTTAGTTATAGGTATCCAAGTCCTGATTTTGAGTTTTACTTAATTCCAATTAAGAATACTCCTTAGTATCAACCAAATTGAAAAAGTTGCCCGGAAATAGGCAGTAGAACAAGATTACATTCAAATAGATAAAATGTGTATTTTGGATATTAGATTTTGTTGTGAACTGAGATAAGGGAAATCTTGGTTACCTAAGGGCTTGAAAATTATAAATATCAAAGGTTAAATTGGAATATTGATGAGAAACTAAAAATGGGGTAAAAATTAAGAACAGGATATGGATTGTTTGTGAAGATTGAATGTAATTAAGATACGCATAAGCAAGATAATTATTGACGAATGTAATCGTGATGTTTTTATTGAGTTGGTAGAATTAGAAATGTACTAGCTTGAATGCGAGACAGTAAGTGTAAAGGGGAAAAGAGAAGAAATATTTTGATGTTGCAACTTGAGATTTGCACTAAAGATTTTGTTATCAAACTATTGATTAACCCAGTCGCCACTGAAATGTAAAATTGGAAAATTAATAAAATATCATTAGAAAAAGTTGCCAGGCTTTGCTGCTTCATAGGCATGTTCAAACCCTTCTGCGGCTACTCGGGGTCTCTGGGGACCCCCTTTCTGTGTCCACACACCACGTTTGCTCAGGTGTGACAGGAAGTAAAGACATGAACCTCGAACCTGTTGTGGCCAGACGCACATGCCTTGGTTCATTACTAAGAGGTGCATTGCAGAGACCAAAATTGGTAGATTCTGGGTTTTTCTCTGGAGGATGAGCTGGGCTCCAAGATTGCATAGAGAACCCTGGATTCTCTTCAAAAATCCTGCAGGGGATGGTGTTGCATCAGCTGTTCGTCGCTGTTTTTTACTGCCTTCTAATCCCTTACTCTTATTTTAATTGGCTTATTTCTCACTTTGCGAATTAGCCACATCTGGGTTTCAGCCAACCTAGAGGTAGAAATGTTTTCTGTTTTTTTTTTTGCAACTGTTGTTAGATTTGAGGTTTTGTTTTGAATTGGATCGACATTGTTGCAACTGTTCCAAGGGTTTGTTTACTACATGCATAAAATTAGCTACTGTGTTTTCAAAAACTCTTTGTTCTTCCTGAATCATTCAAAAAGTACTTCTGGTACTTTGAGATCTGATAATTTGTATTGTTTGAACAGTTACGGGAACCAGGATCTGTTTTGAGATTTAAGGTGTAGATCTTGTGGCTTGAAACCCACAACCTGTGTTTTAGGGGTTCTCCTGGTTTTGCAGGACCTTCCTTGCTAAAGAGCTTCGGAAAAGTCAGAAGTGTATTATGCTCTTTGTAACATTTTTTAATATTTTATAAAAATATTAGCCAGCTATCAATCTGAGAGACTGTTTATTTCTTTGTTGTTGTTAGTTGTGAAGTCGTGTCCCACCCATCGCGACCCCATGGACAACGTTCCTCCAGGCCTTCCTGTCCTCTACCATCTTCTGGAGTCCATTTAAGTTCACACCTACTGCTTCAGTGACTCCATCCAGCCACCTCATTCTCTGTCGTCCCCTTCTTCTCTTGCCCTCAATCTTTCCTAGCATTAGGCTCTTCTCCAGTGAGTCCTTCCTTCTCATTAGGTGGCCAAAGCACTTGAGTTTCAACTTCAGGATCTGGCCTTCTAAAGAGCAGTCAGGGTTGATCTCCTCTAGGACTAACTGGTTTGATCACCTTGCAGTCCAGGGGACTCGCAGGAGTCTTCTCCAGCACCATAGTTCAAAGGCCTCCATTCTTTGGCCCTCAGCCTTTCTTGTATGGTCCAACTTTCACAGTCATACATTGCGACTGGGAAAACCATGGCCTTGACTATACGTACCTTTGTTGGCAGGTTGATGTCTCTGCTTTTTCGTATGCTGTCTATTTCCAAATGTTTATATGTTAGAGGAGAGAAATATTATGGCTTAATTTGCCCTTGTCTGCTCATCTAGCAACTCTCTGGGGACTGTCCACCTGTGTGTCTCTCCCTGCCATTTCTTTCTTTTGAGGTGTTTAGTGCTGTTCGGTCCATGTGTGCACATAAACTAATGGAAAAAGTTGCTTGAGTCTATAAAACTCTTTAAAGAGAACTTTATTAGATAAATAGAATTCAATTATTGAGTAAGGCAATGGATTTCTCTCCCCCCTTTTCCCCCCAATAGGTGTCAAAACATTATGTTTTTCTGTGTAGAAGTGTGGCACCTGGGATATATTGCCCTTGAAGGACCACTTCATTCTTTTAGCTTTCAGTAGCAGCATCGCTGGTTCCATAATGTTCTGCAAAGATATTGTGAGCCATTGTTGGCAGGCACCTTGGAAGGGAAGACCCTTGTTAGCAGAAGAGGTGAAAGGTGAGGAAGGAGATGATTCTAGAATAAAAGCATTCATGAAGCTGGAGCCACGAGGTATTCTGAGTATAAGAGGGTCTCCCTTGTGACCCTCAACTGTTTGCGTTGTGACGTCTATTTGATGTTTCCAACCTCCAGATCTCTTGCAAGCCCTGGTGGATTTGCACCTGGCACCAATAATTATTCCTCCTCCTCCTCCTCCTCCTCCTCCTCCTCCTTCTTCTTCTTGTGCCATATCCATTATCAGACGTTGGCGATCATGTTGGCGATCCTGTTTTTATCAGCAGCCGCACGAAAAAGTGCTGCTGAATTTTGTCCAAACCAATCCCTTAGATTTTGAAGCCATGATGTTCTTCTTCTGCCTGGACCTTTTTGCCTTCAGTCTTTCCCTGGAGGATTCAATGGAGCATGCCGTATTTTTCTGGGTGTCGCCTCACACGTCCGAAATATTCTAATTTTCGTTTTTTAATTGTTTTGATGATTTCCCTGGGCTTTCCCAGGCACCTTATCACCTCCTCATTTCTGATCTTGTCAACCCAGCGTATACGTAACAGCCGCCTGTAAATCCACATTTCAAATGCTTCTAGCACAGTGGTTCTCAACCTGTGGGTCGGGACCCCATTTGGGGTCGAACGACCATTTCACAGGGGTCACCAAACAACACAGTCCGCCATTTTTTCCCCCTTTTCCTTAGCTGTGCTACTCCCTTTTATTCTATTGGCTTTTGAAAGCCAATAGAATAGACTCTCTTGAATAGAGTCTAATTCCATTGGCTTTCAAAAGCCAATAGGAATTGTCCAGGCTGTCTCTGCCCTGCTGAGCCCGCCAAAAGTCCCATTCTGCAAACAGTGCTGCACCAGTTGAGTAGTCCTCGAGTTACGACCAGTTGAGTAGTCCTTGACTTAGGACCGGTTGGGGGTCGCGGCATTAAAAAGGTTGAGAACCATTGTTCTAGTCTCTTCAGGTGGCCTTCTGTCAGAGACCAACTCTCTACTCCATAAAGCAGGATAGAAAAAATATAGCATCTGACAAGCCTGGTTTTCAGTCTTAGGCTTATGTCGTGACCGCAGAAGACCTTTTTCATTTTGAAGAATGCTGTTTGAGCTTTCTCTATCCTTGTCTTTACTTCAGCGGTCATGTCCCAGCTTTCGTGTAAGTTAGAACCGAGACGCGTGATCCTTTCAACCAATTCCTTTAGACGTGGTTGGAACTCTCCCGAGAAAGATTATCTCTTGATTTGGTACCAGCTGCTGCTTGTTACTTTGAAAGCTGTTTTGCTTAGCTTTATAGAATTACGGGTTACTCTGCATCCTTCTCAGAGATTTTGAGGAATCGATTTCACAAAAGCAATTTGGAAAAATGGACATTTGGATTTCCAGCCCTGCGCAATAAGACAGACGGGAAGGGGTCTGAGCATTTGCTATCCTCACTCAGAAATATTCAGCATCTGTCTGATCTTGCCTACAGTTCAGACTGCGGCACAGATGGAGGAAGTCCACTCTGAAAAACGGCAAGGCTTGTTTGATCTCCGCCAGTTCTGAGTTAAAAGTATTTATCGAGGAAGTCTGGATGATAAGACCAGTCTTGTATGTCTCTTTTTGGAAAGATCCAGGGCAGAATAATTGCTTTTAAAGCGACATCAACTTTAAAAAACAAAAAAAGGGAACAAAAAGATGAGTAATAAAATATTCTTTTGAGAAAACAAAGTCCCTAAAATAATGGACTGGAACTCTTCCTTGGCACAGCTGGCAGGCTCCCCTCTGCAGCGCCTTCTAAAAGCAGCCCAGATGTTTCAGAAAACGGGTGGAGGCAGGAATCCCCACGGAGAGGCCAGATGTTCCAGCTGAAGTTACTCTTTTGGTCATATGTCCTGCTGGTGATCTAGCCCAGTGGTTCTTTTTTTTTTTCTTTTTTTTTATTGAAAGTTTTTAAAATTTTACAATAAAATACTCCCCCCCCTCCCACCCACCCCCATCACCCTCCCCCCTACTTCCCAGAGCTGAATACAGGGTTAAAAACAACAAAAAAACATACAACTTAAATGAACATCAAACAATTATACATACATCCAAAAAAACAAAATTTTAAATACTTTAACTCCAATACATAAAAGCAAAAATTCTAACCATTACCCTTAGACGTAAATTATTCAGAAGCTAAATAATACTTTCTAATCTCATATCTATTCTGTATAAAATTCACCCATCTTTTCCACACCAAAATATATTTCTCTTGCGATTGATCTTTCAGATAAGCCGAAATTTTTGCTAGCCCAGTGGTTCTTAACCTGGGCGATATTGCCCCCCAGGGGGCGATTTCATTTTTCAGGGGGGTGAAAGAACAAAAAGGGGGCGATATGGGGGCGATGGAGCGAGACGTTTTGGGGACACTTTTGAGACTTTTCCGTACAGTGAATCGCTGCATATCTGTCGTACAAAAACATCAGATCGCTCGCTATTAGCGGATTGAATTGTGTTTTCAAATGTTCCTCCAGCTAGCTTCAGTGCAGAACGCCGTACATATGTGAAGACGCATCGCTTATCTTCATGCGCGTTGCGCAGCAGCCTCTACCCATACAGTGACGCGCCATTGGCCAGAATATGGGAGATATGGGGGAAAGACTGGAAATAAATTATTTGCATCGATATGTCCTGATGACAATTTTAAAGAAAACAAAACAAGTGTTTGCATAAATTGAAGAATTATTTCCTATGTTGTGATTGAGAGGTTATGTTGGGGGAGGGGGGCGATGACAACTTCCTCATTGGCTCAAGGGGGCGATTCGTTCAAAAAGGTTAAGAACCACTGGTTTAGCCTGTGCCTATTCAGACAGGCAGTATAAAGGTCAATCCTGTGGATTGCATATTAAGTTCATCTCCAAGGTTCACGACAAATCACGTTTATCTTAGCAGGTGGGTTCTAGGATTCGGGCATATTCAGGATGCTTTCTCTGCAACCAGCAAAGAAAGGCTTGATGATTTTAGGTGTGAAAAATACACCAGAGACTTGTGAGGTTCTCCTCTGAATATTTAGGAGCATGATAAAAAAAGAACCCTAGGGGAAAGCCTGTTAAGACAGGTTGCGCTAGATCAGGGGTTCTCAACCTTGGCAACTTTAAGACTTGTGGACTTCAGCTCACAAGTTGAAGTCCACAAGTCTTAAAGTTGCCAAGGCTGAGAACCCCTGCGCTAGATAGAAGATCAGGAGATAGGGATGCCCAATAGTGTCCTGTGTTATGCAGGAGAAGAAATATATGGAAGTCAGAGAAAAAAGTTAACAAAGTCAGAATAGAGCTAGAAGGGGCCTTGGAGATCTTCTAGTCCAACCCCCTGCTCAAGCAGGAGACCCTATACCAGGGATAGGCCACCTTGACTCTTTTATGACTCGTGGACTTCAACTCCCAGAATTCCTGAGCCAGCATGGCTCAGCTTGGAAATCTCTCCCTTTCCCCTCAGCATGGCTGGCTCAGGAATTCTGGGAGTTGAAGTCCACAAGTCATAAAAGAGCCAAGGTTGCCTACGCTTTATGACTGGTGGACTTCAACTCCCAGAATTCCTGAGCCAGCAGGGCTCAGCTTGGAAACCTCTCCCTTTCCCCTCAGCATGGCTGGCTCAGGAATTCTGGGAGTTGAAGTCCACGTCATAAAAGAGCCAAGGTTGCACCCCTGGCCTAGGCCTAGGCCGCTTTATGACTCATGGACTTCAACTCCCAGAATTCCTGAGCCAGCAGGCTCAGCTTGGAAACCTCTCCCTTTCCCCTCAGTGGCTGGCTCAGGAATTCTGGGAGTTGAAGTCCACACGTCATAAAAGAGACAAGGTGGCCTACCCCTGACCTATACCATTTCAGACAGATGGCTGCCCAGTCTTTTCGTAAAAACCTCCTTGAGCCTCATCCTTGCATGAAATGTCTAGAAATCCAATTTGCTCTAGATCGCTATATTTTGTCCTATTTGTAGAAAACTTATCTGTTCCAGTAAGAAATAGAAATTTCTTACAGTAGTGAAGTCATAAGAAACAAAAGCATTTTCTGCCTGGAAGTGCTTCAGACATTATGTGCCCTTCCTGTTTATCGTTAAGGCTGCATTTCACTTCCAATCTGGGTTTGACCAGGGCCAGATTTCATGCACTGATGTCAAACGTTGGTTTGCTGCTGCAAAACGCTGACCCTTTGGGCTTTGATGTCTCTCCCGATCTCAGCTGCAGCATGAGAAGGCAGAGCTGGAACAGCACCTGGAGCAGGAGCAGGAGTTCCAAGTCAACAAGTTGATGAAGAAAATTAAAAAACTGGAAAACGACACCATTTCGAAGCAGCTCACTCTGGAACAGGTAAGTCACACAGGCCGGAGAACGTCGGCAGCGATGTTGGGGGGGGGGGTCTGGTGGCCAGCACACCTGGCAGCCCAGCTTTTGAGGGAGATGAAACATTCCTCCTTGGGGGGGGGGATCGATTCCCCACCTATGAGGAGACTGGCTGGGAAGGATGAAGGAAAGGGAGGCTAAGTGGAGGATTGTGCTTAGGGGAAAGGTCCAGTGGAAAGGCAGCCCCTGAGGACCCATTAAGACAGGGCTTTTCAACCAGTGGTACGGGTACCACCTGTGGTACAGTGGCACCTGGCAGGTGGTACGCGACCATCCTAGAAGTGGTAGCAGGGGAGGGGAATGAGGTGAACCGGTGGCAGCACCGCACAAGCCTGAGTGAGAGACGGCTGGAGTTGCAGGGCTGTCAGGACTCAGCGTAAGCTCCGGGATCAGTGCTGCTTTCCAGATGTTTGGCACTTCTTCGGGGCTGTCAGGGTTCAGTGGAAGCTTCAGGATCAGCGCCAGGCTCCAGCTGGAGCTCACCGCTGATCCTGGTGCTTCTGCTGAGCCCAGAAGAAGCGCCAGGATCAGCTGGAATGTTGCAGCCTCTCCAGGGTCTTGTGATTTCCATTCAGAGGCTTGGCAACGGATTCATATTTATGACGGTCACAGTGTCCCAGGGTCATGTGAAGTGACCAAAACCTGCTGCAACTACCCAGCAGACGGGAGGAATAAAAACCAAACACCCTCCACCCCACCCCCGCTGCCAATCCTCAACAGAAATGCTCACAACAATGAAAACCTCGGACAGGAGGAAGAGCATTGGTCGGGCGGGCAGGCAGGTGTCTTGCTCGGCTGTGGCTTGGGGGGCACTTTTTTCAGTGCCATTGTAACTTCGACAGACACTAAGCGAATGGTTGTAAGTCGAGGACTACCTGTACTTTATCACTAGTTTACTTTTTTCTTTTTCTTTTCTTTTTTTTTCTCATCAAGTTTTTGACACCTTGCTAGGCGACTGGTGGTACTCGGATGTTGCCATATCCTAAAAGTGGTACAATGGGTGAAAAGGTTGAAAAGCCCTGCATTAAGAGACAAGGAGGGGACAGGAGCTGGGCTCCTTCATAGCAATCTGTCAGAGCAGCTGACTTCAAGTAGGGAATGAGGTGATAGCTTTCCCTTCTCCCTAGTAATAAAACACGAGGAGAGATTTGACACGTGCCTCCTTAAATATGCTAATTGGTGACACGAACTTGAAATTTAAACAGTGGTTTTTTCCTCCTCTTCTTTGGTGCCGATTCTGCCCCTTTATTTTGCCTTTATATTTCTTCATTTGTTAAAATGTATTTGCCGCCTATCTAGCCATGAGGCTACTCTGGGCAGCTTACAACAGTAAAACAACAATAAAAAAGAAGGAAGAAATGAAAAGAGCTCAGTCCGCGCAGAAGTAAGGTAATAAAGCAATAAAATAAACAAGGAAGAAGAACACAAGGGGCAATGCAACTATATGATTGTCATAAAAGAAAGGCAGAAGGGTAGAAAGCAGAGGGCAAGGGGAAGCCTGCCATCCATCCCGCAGCAATCTCCAGCTGCTAAATATAACTTTATATTCAAGATCAAATCTTGCATTGTCGATTGGAGTGACTTTGTGGGATGTTGTAATGGGATGTGAGAAAGGGCGAGGAAGTGCTGCCTAGGGAACAGTTAGATAACAGAGGGCCTAGCCTGCAGCTGCATAACGGGAGGAGAAAAAGAGACACTCCGGAGCTTCTGTGTCATGGTTCCGACAGATGAAACTCTTCAAAAGAACTTCGAGGCATTGTTTACCTAAAGAATCATTCGAGTAGCAAAATATCGGCACTACATAATTGAAGCCAAAAACTGGATTCCCCTCCCCTGAGCACATTGTATCAAAGCACAATTCCCTCCTCCAATTAACAGTCATAAATCACATTCCCCAATTAGCTTGAAACCCGAGCTTCCTCTCCAGTTCTCCAGCCCGGCCAATTCTTTATCAGCTCTGGGCTCAATAACTTTGATTCTCACACTACGTTTAGTGTTGTTATGTCTAGCCAGACTCTCATTCACATCCCCCCTCCTCCCAGCATCATCTAACTTTAAAAGCGAAAGGGAAAAAGATGGCTACATTTCCATCTGTTGTCAATGCAAAACATACGATGTTAGCAGCATTGACATTCTCAGCCTGTCAGGGAGACGGCAGGAGACGTGTATTTTCAGACCAACGAGATTCTGTCAGTGTTGTTGTTAGTTGCGAAGTCGTGTCCGACCCATTGCAACCCCATGGACAATGTTGCTCCAGGCCTTCCCGTCCTCTACCATCTTCTGGGGTCTATTTAAGCTCACGCCTGCTGCTTCAGTGACTCCATCCAGCCACCTCATTCTCTGTCGTCCTGTTCTTCTCTTGCCCTCCATCTTTCCCAGCATCAGGCTTTTCTCCAGTGAGTCCTTCCTTCTCATTAGGTGGCCAAAGTACTTGAGTTTCAACTTCAGGATCTGGCCTTCTAAAGAGCAGTCGGGGTTGATCTCCTCTAGGACTGACCGGTTTGAACGCCTTGCAGTCCAGGGGACTCACAGGAGTCTTCTCCAGCACCATAGTTCAAAGGCCTCCATTCTTTGGCGCTCAGCCTTTCTTATATGGTCCAACTTTCATCTGTTAGTGTAGCTTTACAATAATATAGCGTTAGCTCCTCTGGTCGTGTTTCCTTTCTGGTTCATCTAGTAAGGGTGACCTCTGTTTTCTGAATTTTACACGTTTTACGAGGAAAACCCGTAGCAAAATGATGATAAAATACTGTAAGTCTCTTGTTTTTGAAGAAGTGGCAAGGGCCCCGCTGGAGATCCTTCTGTTGCAAAAGTGAAGAACAAGCGAGGCAGCCAAAGAACTTCCTGATTTAAAAAAAGATTTTGCAGTTAAGCCCTGAAAGAACTTTTGGAATAGAAGAAAAAAGGGATCTCAAGGCGGGAGGGGGCTCGTCCCTTAGTCACATGCAAGAGACTTACGGTATTTTATCATCCTTTTGCGACGGTTTTTCCTCATTCCTCTTGCTTTTACATTCTAAGACCCTTTTATAGACTCATTGTTAAAATTACTGGTAGATTCTTGGGTCTTAATGTTTGATTCCTGGATTTGATTCCACTGTCAGTTTCTAAAGTAATGGTGTTCTGTTGAAAGGGGTTTTTTTTGATTGGATTCTTCTCTTCAACAACAACAATAACAACAAAAGAATCTGTCTGTTATAGAGCCCTTGACTTGCTCTCTGCTCTGTCTTTGTGATAAAAGACACAGAGTGTGCGCAGAGAACACTCCAGGACAGCCCTACCCATGATGGGTTATGCTGCCCTTGTTGTTGTTGTTAATTGCGAAGTCGTGTCCGACCCATCGCGACCCCATGGACAACGTTCCTCCAGGTCTTCCTGTCCTCTACCATCTTCTGGAGTCCATTTAAGCTCACACCTCCTGCTTCAGTGACTCCATCCACCCACCTCATTCTCTGTCGTCCCATTCTTCTGTTGTCCTCCATCTTTCCCAGCATCAGGCTCTTCTCCAGTGAGTCTTTCCTTCTCATTAGGTGGCCAAAGTACTTGAGTTTCAACTTCAGGATCTGGCCTTCTAAAGAGCAGTCGGGGTTGATCTCCTCTAGGACTGACCAGTTTGATCGCCTTGCAGTCCAGGGGACTTGCAGGAGTCTTCTCCAGCACCAGAGTTCAAAGGCCTCCATTCTTTGGCGCTCAGCCTTTCTTATGGTCCAACTTTCACAGCCGTACATTGAAACTGGGAAAACCATGGCCTGGACTATATGCACCTTTGTTGGCAGGGTGATGTCCCTTAGCTCTTGGTTAAACCAGAAATGTTCCCTCTGGTGATGCTGGCTGGCTGGCTTTTGTTTAGCCGAGAACGCCCTTGGCCGGCCAGTTACATAGGAGCAGAGAGGATTGTGGCTACTCTGGACTCTGAACACCACCACAGTGGTTGTGTTGTTCAGCACTGAGAATTAGAGGTTACCTTCTGCCACTTCCCAGCCTCTGTGGAAAGGATAATTGTCTCCCTGAATTCAGCATCAGGCATTATTCAGTAATGGCCAAAATTGTGGAAACCTTTTGGGGAAAGTGTACATTTGAGGTTTGATGGCTAACAACACCACTTTTGTTTTGGGAGTAGTACCATAAAATTATATATCAATGGAAAGATAATTTAATCAAGAATGTAAAGCAATATAGTTTGTTCAATTATCTGTACTGTAGTCTATGAAAAGTTATAGCCAAATAACCAGAAAAAGGAAGCACAACTTGCTTAGGTTGATCTCAGGTAGCTTTCCTTCATCCGATGGTAGCCAATGAGCGTGAGTGTTTAGAGAGCCAGTCGGGTGTCATTTTGGCCATGAGCCAACCAGATCACAATAGGAGTCAGTGATTGATGTCCTGTATTGAAGCTGAGAGGAGGACATTGGTCAGTGTGTTATGTGATCGCTATCAAGTTGGCTGGGGTTTTTTTGTGTTCTTTCCTTGAGTGAGCTTGTAAAACGTAATAAAATTAAAGTCATGATGCAAAGAGTTGACTGGTTGCCCAGAAAGCGATGAAAAATAGTATTTATTATGAACAAGGCTACAGTTATAAAGAAATGAGAAGAAAAATGGGTGGAAACTTAACCAAAGGTGGCGTTTCTACTGTACGCTTTTCCCAAAAGGTTTCCACAATTTTGGCCACCTACTGTATTTGGCAAAGGGCTAATACTAAACTGCAAATACCTTTGGGCAGTCTCCTTTGATTGCCACATCTTTACCAGGAACTCTCTTCCCTCTGGCGCTACTAGATCCCTACCTGATCTAACCCCTCATCTCTTTTTAGAATGGTGGTTTAGTGTTTTGAGTTGCACTGCAGCTGCTGGGGCCGTTCTGGACAGTTGTTCATTTCTCACTGAAACCGAAAGTGTTCCGTTACTGCTTTGCAACTGCTATTTTGTTGGTCCAGTTTTGCTAATAAAAGTGCAACTCGGAGAGGTTAGCCCTGCTCCCAGGTGCTCATCCCATTTCATCTGACAGAAGTGCTCCTTTTCCCCCCCCACCCCACCCCAGAGCACTTCCTCTATTTAGTGGCAGGCTGTAGTCAGCTGGCAGGGCCCCTTTTGTCTGCTCAGGCAGAAGAAACCCACTTTGCATCTAGATCAGCAGTTCTCAACCTTTTTAATGCCGCGACCCCCAACTGGTCGTAAGTTGAGGACTACTCAACCGGTCGTAAGTCGAGGACTACTCAATTGGTGCAGCATCGTCTGCAGAATGGGACTTTTGGTGGGCTCAGCAGGGCAGAGACAACCTGGACAATTCCTATTGGCTTTTGAAAGCCAATAGAATTAGACTCTATTCAAGAGAGTCTATTCTATTGGCTTTCAAAAGCCAATAGAATAAAAGGGAGTAGCACAGCTAAGGAAAAGGGGAAAAAAATGGCGGACTGTGTTGTTTGGCGACCCCCGTGAAATGGTCGTTCGACCCCAAATGGGGTCTCGACCCACAGGTTGAGAACCACTGAGGTGGATGGATGGAGTCCCTGAAGCAGGAGGCGTGAGCTTAAATGGACTCCAGAAGATGATAGAGGACAGGAAGGCCTGGAGGAACGTTGTCCATGGGGTTGCAATGGGTCGGACACGACTTCGCAATTAACAACAACAATGTGCCCCTTGTGCGAAAAGCTGTAAAAAGAGTTGGACCTCTGCCAGAAGTCTGTAAGAGGTATGGGTGGTGGGAATTGGTTAGAGAGGTCATCTCTGGCCAACAGATGGAACAGCGACCATCGGAGGGCAGCGGCTACTCTTCAACCCCAAAAGATTAAACTCTTCTCCACCCCCCACCCCCCGCCCAAGATAATCCAAAAGTCACTAATCTGGATGTTTGAGCTGGCAATCTTAGTTCTTTTGCTTTGATAGCCTCTCCAGGAACCCACACGCTGCAACTGAGTTTGGGGACCCGGTAAAATTTATGTTTCGATTAGTAAACCAAGTGAGACTTAAGGAGATCTGGCACAAAGGGATATTGCTCTCTTCCCCCTGCCCCCCAACTTGCAAAATTGCCACTATCCAGAATGAGAACGGCCGGATTCAGTAACCTCAAGCGCTGTGTTGTCATTACAGGACCCCCCAAATTCTGTCTTTAGGACTCCCCCTTGACCATGGGATTATCTGGGTGACTTTAAGCAAGTTGCTTTCTCTTAGCATGCCTTCCCACGTAGGAGAATAAAAAACTCCTCAAAGCAAGAACAATGGGTGAACAACAGAGAATGCCTGGTTGGGCGGCAGCATCAGGTTGACCTTGGCTGAGCTGGAGAACTAATCAGGATTAGAGCTGATTAAAACTGGATGGGAGATGAGCAGATGTCAGGCTGCAGGCCAGACTGGGAATCCCAAAGTGCCCCACCCCATCTAGGCCAGTTCCATACTCTTGTCTAATGACCTCCCGGGCATGGCCTCGGCATCTCCAGCAATTCAACCTGGAGGAAGGTCACTTGCTTTTTTACCTGGACGAATGAATTAGAAAGAATCCAGGAGGTGCGTTTATTTCCCTCCGAATAAACGCAAAGAAAAGTGTCATTAATTCAACAGTTTTCCTGTTTCCAAGGTTCTAGATCAGGGGCAGGCAACCTCGGCTCTTTTATGACACGTGGACTTCAACTCCCAGAATCCCTGAGCCGGCATGGCTCAGCTCGGAAACCTCTCCCTTTCCCCTCAGCATAGCTGGCTCAGGAATTCTGGGAGTTGAAGTCCACGAGTCATAAAAGAGCCAAGGTTGCCCAACCCTGCAGTAGGGAAGTTGGGTTCGCTTAATGACTGCATAATTCACTTAACAGCTACAGTGATTCACTTAAAAATCATGGCAAAAAACCATGGCACACTGGGCACGACTCACTTCACTTAGCAACAGAAATTCTGCTGCCGATTCTCGTCGTCAGTCGAGGGCTACTTGTAATCTGCTGTATCATTCTAGACCAGGGGTAGGCAACCTTGGCTCTTTTAGGACTCGTGGACTTCAACTCCCAGAATTCCTGAGCCAGCCATGCTGAGAGGAAAGGGAGAGGTTTCCAAGCTGAGCCATGCTGGCTCAGGAATTCTGGGAGTTGAAGTCCACCAGTCATAAAAGAGCCAAGGTGGCCTACCCCGGTTCTAGATCAACAGAATTTATTTTAACTGTGTGAGCAAAACGTGTTTTTGTGAGAAAAGATCTCTGAGACTGCAATGTAAACGTTGGCAATATGAATGCAGTTTTTGGGTGTCCTGACTGGGTGCTGAGTTAAACGGGGGTTCAGCTCAAATTTAGGAAAAGGGTTATGCCCACTCTTAACCAAACCACAATTTGCCTCCTAGCTAAGGCGTGAGAAGATTGATCTGGAAAACACCCTAGAACAAGAACAGGAAGCTCTTGTGAACCGTCTCTGGAAGAGGATGGACAAACTTGAAGCTGAAAAAAGGTGGGTTTTCTTCTTTGCTCCTCCCAACCATTCACCCCATTTTTTTCAGGGGGAGGGGAGAATGAGGCAGATTTTACAGCTTTTCTCTGATATGTAGCTGTTTCAAGGGGCAATAAAACAACAGGAGGAAGAAGAGAACAGTAAAAACTGTGTTACTTCGCAAAAGTAATATAACATGGCATTTAAGATGGCTTTGCTTTATGCATCTCGTATTAAATATTGGCCATTGCTGTTTATAAATCTTCCTGCCGAATCCCAATTTTTTGTCAGAAATAACATTCCACAGCCTTCAGAAAATTTCACGGAAGCAGCAGCCCTTGAAGGATCCACAAACACAAGGGGGGAAAAGCTAGCCCAGACGTAGGCAACCTTGGCTCTTTCATGACTCGTGGACTTCAACTCCCAGAATTCCTGAGCCAGCATGGCTCAGCTTGGAAACCTCTCCCTGTCCCCTCAGCATGGCTGGCTCAGGAATTCTGGGAGTTGAAGTCCACGAGTCATAAAAGAACCAAGGTTGCCTACCCCTGGGCTAGACAGAAATTTCACCCAAGAAAATGAACTGTACCATTGTTCCTCAGTTCAGCTTGTCCCATGGGGAGAAAAAAAGACATGTTGCCAGAATATTCTGTCCTGAAAGGGACCTTTCCAATCTCAGAATAGGCTATTCCAAGTCTTCTGGAACGGGTCCAACTTTAAAATGGGTCCAGTTTTGAAGTCAAACCACTTCAGAATGATCCTCTTTCAGTATTGGGTCACTTCTCATAATTGCTTAACGTTCTGTGCACCTTGCTGGACAGTCCCTCTGGCTTGTCCCTGACTTCGTTCGCCTTTTCTTGTTCTTCCATTAGAATGAAAGCTATATTAGATAATAGAAAAAAATGCTTTACTATATCAAACTAAACATTCCTCTAGTTCAGGGGTAGGCCACCTTGGCTCTTTCATGACTTGTGGACTTCAACTCCCAGAATTCCTGAGCCAGCATGGCTCAGCTTGGAAACCTCTCCCTTTCCTCTCAGCATGGCTGGCTCAGGAATTCTGGGAGTTGAAATCCACAAGTCATAAAATAGCCAAGGTTGCCTACCTCTGGCCTAGGCTGCTTTGTGACACGTGGACTTCAACTCCCAGAATCCCTGAGCCAGCATGGCTCAGCTTGGAAACCTCTCCCTTTCCCCTCAGCATGGCTGGCTCAGGAATTCTGGGAGTTGAAGTCCACGCGTCCTAAAAGAGCCAAGGTGGCCTAGCCCTGCCCTAGCCAGTGAAAGGTTGGGCATCACTGTGATCCTTTGTTCTCCCAACCATTTTTTTTTTTAATTTTGTAAAGATGTAAAGCATTAAATTGGTGCCAAGAATATTCCTTCCGGGACTGAGGCAATCTTGTTCAGAGAAAAGGAAGCAAAAATGGACCTCGTGCTTGGGGAACCGTGGGTGGGAGTCCCTGCCTCCTTCCTCACCCTGGACATGGAGTAAGGTGACCCCTTGCCTGGCCTGTTAATCAGAAATCTGGAGCAACCAGGCTTGGCCTTAGCCCCAACTCTTCCCATTCTCTTCATGTAGGTTTATTGATCCCCAGGCATGTGACAAGGGGTTGCCCGAATTCCAGATGTGTGGCAGATAATGCTTTCTCGAAGTTTCTACTTGTGAGATTTGATTTCTTCGGCACAGCTCACGCTCACCTTTCTTTGCCGAAAAGAGAAGATTGCCTCATCTTGATTTCGTATGTTCGTACGTTCCAAAGAAATGAAGCCCCAAAGTTGCCAATATAAATATTTTTTTTTTAATTTCAGAATTCTCCAGGAGAAACTGGACCAGCCCGTGTCTGCTCCTCCGTCGCCAAGGGACATATCAATGGAAATAGACTCTCCAGAAAACATGATGCGCCATATCAGGTTTCTGAAGAACGAGGTGGAGAGGTTAAAAAAACAGCTCCGAGCAGCACAGCTACAGCGTAAGTCCTGTCTTCTTATCTGCCTGCTCTGCTTCCTGTGTCAGGTCAAACTATCTCTGATCCAGACTGGGGGAATTTCCAGGCCAGGTTCAGAAGCAGAATGCTGGTTTTTAGGTTAGCAAGGCTGTCCGTACCGCAACCTAGATTTTCCTTGGTGCTCTCTGAGCTTCTTTGTTTTCTTGCAGATGTTTCATTCCCCAAACTGAGTAACATCATCAGCTCTGATGTTGGTTAGGTCACGAAATGTGTGCAAGAAAACAGCCAAGCTCAAAGAGCACCAAGGACCCCCCCCCCCACAGTCCAAACTTGTGCTAATATTCCCCTTTATTGGTACTACATTTTCCCCTCCAGTAGGATGAGTACAAGTTTCAGGTCACTTTATCTTGCTTCAGTTCACCATAAAATGATGAGGCGTGGTTTTACAACTCTCTAGTCCGCTTTTAGCATTGTGTTTACAGTACTAAATATACATTTTGGGGGCGGGAGAAGAACCTTGACCGTGTTTAGCTCATCGATTTGAATCGCCGACTGTTTGGACAAGGTCTTTTCAAAAGATGTGAAAATGCTCACAGTCTGTTTTGTATATTCTTTTTTTGGGAAGCAACATCACTGGATCTAGAGACAAGACTTTAGCTGTTAATGCCTTGGTGTTATCTAAGAGCATTATGCCACCCTCTGGACACACTCAGTGACCTCTTGTGCAAAGACATTGACAATGAAGGCCACAAAGGAGAGGCCTTCTCCAACAAACAACAGAACCCAGGCATAAAACACCGGAGAAGGCTCCGTAGTGAGAGATGATGATGATGATAATAATAATAAAGTTGGAAGGGACCTTGGAGGTCATCGAGTCCAACCCCCTGTTCAGGCAGGAAACCCTACACTATTTCGGACAAATGGCTGTCCAGTCTCTTCTTAAAAACGTCCAGTGTTGGAGCATTTACTGCTTCTGGAGGCAGGTTGTTCCACTGGTTGATTGTTCTAACTGTCAGGAAGTTTCTCCTTAGTTCCAGGTTGCTTCTCTCCTGGATGAGTTTCCATCCATTGCTTCTTGTCCTGCCTTCAGGCGCTTTGGAGAATAGCTTGACTCCCTCTTCTTTGGGGCAGCCCCTGAGATATTGGAACGCTGCTATCCTGTCCCCCCTCGTCCTTCTCTTCGTTAAACTAGACATACCCGTTGCTTCTTGTCCTGCCTTCAGGCGCTTTGGAGAATAGCTTGACTCTTTCTTCTTTGGGGCAGCCCCTGAGATATTGGAACACTACTATGTGTTCCAATGTGTTTCATCCACTGCAATGGATGAAAAAACCTTTTCCCAAAAGGTTTCCACAATTTTGGCCACTACTGTAGCGTTCTGAGGCAGCGCGTTTAGTGGCAATCAATGTCCTTTGAGGAGGGAAACGAAGCAAACATATGTTTTTAGGCCAAGTCCTTGTTGTTAAGGCTTGCAAAATTAGTGCTGTCCCTGCAAAGGAGATCAGGGGCTGTAATCATGGTGTCCTTGTCTGTCCCTTTAGAGACTTGCTGTCCTTGGACATAGGTGTGACAGACGTCTAGGAATCGGGGCGGCCGATGTGCAAACGTTAGCCTGGAGCATAAGAATTCAAAAGCCTCTTTTGGGCCTCTCCCCTTATCTTTCGTCTGCCCCGCAGTTGTTCTTGGAGGCCTGGTGGGTGACTGTAGCACCAGGGATGTGACCCAGGACAATTTATGACTTTCTGGATCTCCATCAGGCTGCGGCACTCTGGGTTATCTCTAATCCCTGTCCCCAGTTTTTCGATTTAGGCCAGTGGTTCTCAACCTTTTTAATGCCGCGACCCCCAACCGGTCATAAGTCGAGGACTACTCAACCGGTCGTAAGTCGAGGACTACTTGACTGATGCAGCACCGTTTGCAGAATGGGACTTTTGGCGGGCTCAGCAGGGCAGAGACAGCCTGGACAATTCCTATTGGCTTTTGAAAGCCAATAGAATTAGACTCTATTCAAGAGAGTCTATTCTATTGGCTTTTAAAAGCCAATAGAATAAAAGGGAGTAGCACAGCTAAGGAAAAGGGGGGGGTGGGAAATGGCGGACTGCGTTGTTTGGCGACCCCCGTGAAATGGTCGTTCGACCCCAAATGGGGTCCCGACCCACAGGTTGAGAACCACTGATTTAGGCCAAAACTCTAGGATAGGCGAGGGAAACTTCGGCAACTTTACTGACCCGTGGACTTCAACGCCCAGAATTCCCGAGTCTTCTCCCCCACCCCATACTTAGGAAAGTTTTTGGACCATTTATATCGTCATTTCTGCCCTCACAACACAGACCAGTTGTCCCGGGGTTACATGTTCTTCCCAACTCAAGGCTTACTGCTGGAAACTTGGTAATTTGGATGTTACTCCTTTGGGACAAGAAGTGTTTATGGTGGGTCACTCCAAAGTTGAGGTTTGTGGAGCATTGATGTTCATGCTTTCGAGCAGGGGTCTGCCCACTTGGCAACTTGTGACCTGGTGGGACGTCAACTCCCAGAATTCCTCAGCCAGCCATGGGAGTTGAAGTCCACAAGTCATAAAGTTGCCAAATTTTGGAGAGCTCCGCTTTTGAGGATGGCTGTCTGAACTAGGCACCACCGCCCTGCCCTCATTTTTACACTAACCCACAACTTTCTGGTAGGTATGAATTGACCTTGTGAATGGTTCCAGTTGTAGCCAGTTCAGTGCCAGTTAAGGGTTAAACTGTGGTTTGCTCAGCTCTCCGCATTCACTTTTCTTGATTCAGCTGATTTGAAGGTTGAGTTGTGTAACGTTTGGCAGTATCTCTGGTCCTCCTAAAGCAGTGGTTCTCAACCTTTTTAATGCCGCGACCCCAACCAGTCGTAAGTCGAGGATTACTCAACCGGTCGTAAGTGGAGGACTACTCAACTGGTGCAGCACCATTTGCAGAATGGGACTTTTGGTGGGCTCAGCAGGGCAGAGACAGCCTGGACAATTCCTATTGGCTTTTGAAAGCCAATAGAATTAGACCCTATTCAAGAGAGTCTATTCTATTGGCTTTCAAAAGCCAATAGAATAAAAGGAAGTAGCACAGCTAAGGAAAAGGGAGGAAAAATGGCAGACTGCGTTGTTTGGCGACCCCCGTGAAATGGTCGTTCGACCCCAAATGGGGTCCTGACCCACAGGTTGAGAACCACTGTCCTAAAGCACAGCTGTGGGTTTAATAGCCAGCCATCTTGAAACCCCCAGATTCAGAGAAGATGGCCCAGTACCTGGAGGAAGAACGTCACATGCGAGAGGAGAACCTGAGGCTCCAACGGAAGTTGCAGCGAGAGATGGAGCGAAGGGAAGCCTTGTGCCGGCAGCTGTCTGAAAGCGAATCCAGTCTGGAAATGGACGATGAAAGGTTTGGGCTTAGATTATCCTGGCTTTCAGAGTTTTGTATAATACTACTAATAATAAATTTGGAAGGGACCTTGGAGGTCATTTAGTCCAACCCCCTGTTCAGGCAGGAAACCCTACACCATTTCGGACAAAGGGCTGTCCAGTCTCTTCTTAAAAACTTCCAGTGTTGGAGCATTCACCGCTTCTGGAGGCAGGTTGTTCCACTGGTTAATTGTTCTCACTGTCAGGAAGTTTCTCCTTAGTTCTAGGTTGCTTCTCTCCTTGATTAGTTTCCACCCGTTGCTTCTTGTCCTGCCTTCAGGCGCTTTGGAGAAGAGCTTGACTCCCTCTTCTTTGGGGCAGCCCCTGAGATATTGGAACGCTGCTATCCTGTCCCCCCTCGTCCTTCTCTTCGTTAAACTAGACATACCCAATTCCAGTTCAGGGGTCTGGGGCTGCAGACTGGAAGCAGACCTTTCCCAGCCTGTCACTTTCTCTTCTGTAATTGACAGCACGCCTTGCCTTGCCCAGGGGGTCACTCCAGGCCTCTACAAGGACGGGCCAGGGGCAGCCTCGGAAACAGGGGGGTGATGTTTCAGAACCACTTGGGCAGGCGGGCCCTGACAGGAGGCAGCCCTGGCTTTCTCATACCACAGAGGGATTTCTAGGGAGAGCAGCATTTCACTCCTTCTGCCCAGAGAGCAAGGCCTGCTGTGGGGCTGGGAACTCTCCTGCCGCTTGATCTGTGTGGCTCTTGTTAATTTTGAGGAGTCCTTCTGGTCTCTTTGGATGTTTTATTTATTTATTTATTTATGAGACTTATATACCGCTTTAAGTGCAAGCACTCTCTAAGCGGTGTACACCAGTAAGCAATGTATATATATATTTACATTGCCCCCAACAATCTGGGTCCTCATTTTACCTACCCCGGAAGGATGGAAGGCTGAGTCAACCTTGAGCCGGTGAGATTTGAACCGCTGACCTGCTGAACAGTCAGCTAAAGTGGCCTGCAGTACTGCACTCTTAACTGCTGCGCCACCTCACCTCCCAAGGATCATGTTAACTGTCCAGTGTTGACTCTAGCGGGGGAAAATATACCCCCTTCGGAGCGGGTTCGCAACTTGGGTGTCCTCCTTGATCCACAGCTGAAATTGGAACATCATTTGACGGCTGTGGCTGGGAGGACCTTTGCACAAGTTCATCTGTTGCATCAGTTGCGACCCTACCTGGACCGGGAGGCTCTCCTTACAGTCACTCACGCCCTCGTCACCTCACGCCTGGACTACTGCAACGCACTCTACATGGGGTACCCTTGAAAAGTATTCGGAGACTACAGTTGGTCCAGAATGCAGCCGCGCGAGTGATAGCGGGTGTTCCTCGGTACACCCACATTACACCTATCCTCCGCGAGCTGCACTGGTTGCCTATTGGTCTCCGGGTCCAATTCAAGGTGTTGGTTATTACCTTTAAAGCTCTATATGGCTCAGGGCCAGGCTATTTGCGAGACCGCCTACTACCTCATAGTTCCCTTCGTCCGGTTAGATCCCACAGGCTGGGCCTCCTTCAGGTCCCATCGGCCAAGCAGTGCCATTTGGCGGGGCCGCGGAGGAGGGCCTTCTCTGTGATGGCGCCCACGTCTTGGAACCAGCTCCCCCCGGAGATTAGGACCGCTCCCACCCTGTTGGTTTTCCTGCAAGCTGCTTAAGACCTGGCTTTTCCGGCAGGCCTGGGGTTTATAAAACCTGACCCCTGAATGAATGTTACTGTATTGTTTGTCTTGTTAAGTTATATTGTGTTTTTATTGTTAGCTGCCCGGAGTCCTGCAAGAGTGGGGCGGTCTATAAATTTTAATAAATAAATAAATCTGAAACATATTAGCTTTCCTGGTTTGAAGGGTTGATATTCCAGCGGCTTAGTTACTTTGAAGTTAGCACTGCCGTGCAGTTATGCTGGGCACAGTGGCCAGCCTGTGAGTTTGAATGGATCACTCAGTTAAATCTGCATCCTCTGAAGAGGAGACAGCTCTCTTTGAAGAAGGTTGGGTGAAGTTGCGGTTGGCAGTACCATGAGAGAGTCTTACAAGATCACAAGTTTTGGAAGTGAGCTTTGTTACCCATATTCATTAACACATTTGTGTAAAAGTGTAACGCGGTATTCATGGTGGTCGCGTAAAACATTGAACATGCTTTCAAATATCAGCTTGGTTAGAATCAACCTTGTGAATGATTAAAAACGTTCTCGCTTAGTTGCGCTAACTTTATCGCGATGTTCCTCTACTATCTTAGAAAAGCATCCGGAAAAACGAGGAGAAAAAAAAAAGGCTAAAGTAAGGAAATAGATGTGTGGCAAATTAGAATGAACTGATCTGTTCTCTCTTAGATACTTTAATGAAATGTCTGCACAAGGATTAAGACCTCGCACTGTGTCAAGTCCGATCCCATACACACCTTCTCCAAGTTCTAGCAGACCCATCTCACCAGGTAAGAAATAAGGATAATTCGGCGTTTTTGCCTTTGGGACACGTGTGTCTTGCTTGGGTGTGTAGTTAATCTTCCACTACTAGAACTTCAGCCTTCGGGAAGTTAAAGCAGACAGATTATATTGAAATCTGGGTATGCAGTTCGTCAACAAACAGAGCCGAAGCATTTTTAATTCAGGGATTTATTGGAAACCACAAACCCTTGTTAAACTTTATGAAACTCAGGAAGAGATTTTATAGTTTTTCCACAGGTTGCCTTTTATCTCCTTTCTCAGTCTCAGATTTTATTTTTAAAAAAAACAATGTTTCATTTTATTCAGTTTTTATCTCTCAGCCACTCCTAGCGTTAAATCTCCAATTCAGACAGGGGTCATTTTATTTCCTGCTCTGAAGCTTCTGGGTGGGGGCAAATTATACATTTATGCACTTAAAGGACCTCGCCCTCTTTGGCCTGACCAGGAAGCTCCAGTGACTTTGTCAACAAAATTGCAGATCTCTTAACCTGCGTTTCCTTCTTCCTCTTGGGCGGGATGTTAACTGCCGCTCGCTCGTTCGTGATGCCTTCTCTCTCTTTCTTCCTGGTTGCAGGTCTCTCGTATGCAAGCCACACCGTTGGGTTCACTCCCCCAACTTCCCTCACCAGAGCTGGCATGTCGTACTATAACTCTCCTGGCCTTCACGTGCAGCATATGGGACCGTCCCACAGCATTACGGTGAGTCTCTACTGCAGGGATCCCCAACCTTGGCCACATGAAGATCTATAGCAGTGGTGGCGAACCTATGGCACGGGTGCCAGAGGCGGCACGCAGAGCCCTCTCTGTGGGCACGTGCGCCGTCGTCCCAGTCCTAGGCCTTCAGCTGGGTGTTATAAAACCTTTTTGCTTTAGGCTTCCGCCGCCGTGTGCAAAAAAAAAAAAAAAAAAAATTCAATGAATCAATTTCAACTTCTCGTGGGAAAAAAAAAAGATCTTGCAAAGTTGGAATTGATTGATTGAACTTTTTACTCCCACCCATTCTGCGGTTACCACCGCAGCCACGCCCACCCAATGGGCCACTCCCCCCCCCAAATTGGCCACACCCAGCCAATGGGCCACACCCACCTGGCACCCCGACCATGCATAAATGGGTTTTGGGGTTGCAGTTTGGGCTCTCGGTCTCTAAAAGGTTCGCCATCACTGATCTATAGACTTCAATTCCCAGAATGGCCGAGGAATTCTGTGAGTTGAAGTCCATGTGTCTTAAAGTTGCCAAGGTTGGAGAGCCCTGCTCTGTCGCACTCTAATCCTGGGGCTTGCTGCTTGCTGGTTTCTTCAGACCGAGATGCTACCAAGCCCTCTTTTTACACTAGAGCAGGGGTAGGCAACTTTGGCTCTTTTATGACGCGTGGACTTCAACTCCCAGAATTCCTGAGCCAGCACGGCTCAGCTTGGAAACCTCTCCCTTTCCCCTCAGCATGGCTGGCTCAGGAATTCTGGGAGTTGAAGTCCACCAGTCATAAAAGAGAGAAGGTTGCCTATCTCTGGCCTAGGCCGAGGCTGCTTTATGACACGTGGACTTCAACTCCCAGAATTCCTGAGCCAGCCACGCGGAGGGGAAAGGGAGAGGTTGCCATGCTGAGCCATGCTGGCTGAGGAATTCTGGGAGTTGAAGTCCATGAGTCATGAAGGGGCCAAAGCTTCCCTCATGCTGGCTCAGGAATTCTGGGAGTTGAAGTCCACGAGTCATAAAAGAGCCAAGGTTGCCTACCTCTGGCCTAGGCCTAGGCTACTTTATGACACGTGGACTTCAACTCCCAGAATTCCTGAGCCAGCACGGCTCAGCTTGGAAACCTCTCCCTTTCCCCTCAGCCTGGCTGGCTCAGGAATCCTGGGAGTTGAAGTCCACCAGTCATAAAAGAGCCAAGGTGGCCTACCCCTGACCTAGAGCAATATTTCTTGAACTTGGCAACTTGATGTTGGGTGGATTTCAGCTCACAATGGCTGGGGAATTCTGGGAATTGGAATCCACACATCTTAAAAGTTTGAGAAACGCTGCACTGGACACCCCATTGACGATTTCCCCATGATTACGAACTAGATTGTAGGCCTGCTCTTCTGCAGTTCTTCTTTTTCTTTGCGCTAGGCCTCTGTGTGCTCCCTTTAGCCGCTGCTTCTCATTCGCACCCTCTCCAGTACAAAAGGTCAAGGAGTTTCCAGAGCATGAAGAGCTGTAAATATCTGCAAGTCCATAAAATACCCAGACCATAAAGAACACAAATTGCAAAGTTGATTTCTTTCCTTGCCTCCCCTCCTTGACCAAGGAATCATCTCAGACCGATTCAGGCCCGGGGCCAACCCTCGGTTCATCCTCACAAATGGCATCTTCCAATGTTTCGTCTCTTTTGTTAGTTTATTAAGCTTTCATCGCCCAGTTTTCTAAAATCACAACAAAGACATCAGGACTATTTTTGGCTGCTGCAACGGACTAGGTTTTTTTTTTTTAACTTGGCAAATAATTTTGAATTGAGGCAACGTTTTAAATTCAGCAAAGTCTGAAAGCCTTGTCACAGCGATCTACCTTATTAACTAACACCCTAATACTTTTGGATGGAAGGCCTGACCCCTTCCCCCTCCACCTGTGATCAACCCTAGCATCCTTGCCTCCAGCCCTTCCGGAATGGAAGCCCAGCTCCTCCGGAGGCCCCAGGATGGCAGTGGGCTGGGAGCACAGAGGAGGAGATAAGCATAGGAGGATTCTCCACCCCTGCTTTACAGAGGCAAGGCTTAAGGAGTGCTCTGGCTAAACTTTGGTTGCAGAGACAATGGCAGAAAGTCATAACCGTAGATGTAGCATGGGAACAAGGGTGAGGGAGCTGTCGTGGGCACAGATAGAAAATGCGTGCATGCCCCCTCTAAAAGAAGTGATGAATGCAGCAAGACTGGCCTGGCCATATTCAGGCTTCCCCCCCTGGCGGAAGCACCTCCTTCTCCTCGCTGGCTTGGCCTGCTGGGCGTGAGCCTCGGTGAAGAGCAGCCCTGCCAGAACTCCTGGTTGGGCCTGGCTCTCCCCAGCAGCTCATTTGTGCCGGCATGAGGGCCTTTCTCCGATTCTGGTCTTGGCTGTCCTGATCCCAGCTCTTGTTTGTTTCCTCCTGCAGAGGCCTTTGCCGCGAAGAAGCAACAGCCCGGACAAGTTCAAGCGCCCCACGCCCCCTCCCTCTCCGAACACGCAGACCCCGCTGCCGTCGGCGCCCCCACCTCCCCCTCCGCCTCCCCAGCTGGCTCCTTTCCAGCCCTCCACTCAGCCTTAGTGCCCTGGCCAATGATCCTGCCTTCAGAGTTGGACTCATCCCCCCACCCCACCCCCCCGGAGCAGTTTACTACAAGCCAAAGGCTTACCACGGTCAATTGGGAGTTGACTGACTTGCACTGAGATTGTCGAGGCTTCACCGTTTCATTGTGTCGTACCAGTTTTTGCCCAAGGACCTCCTCCGGCATTAGCGCGTGGCCCGCCTCCAAGGTGCTCCCTTCCCGGGAGGCAGGTGGACGGCAGCACCTGGGCATCCCCCACCACCTGGGGGGCCCCCCTCCTTGCAGGAAGCGCCCTCTCTCGATTTCTCCAGAAGGCAGCCCATCGGGGTGAGATCCGCAACATCCACCTGAAGCGAGGCAACCCAAACCCATCCGTGTTGACATGGGAACATCCATCTCTGCACCTGCCGCAGCTGGTACACCGGTGCTGGTGTTCAGTATCGCGGCCTCCTGTTTTGCTCCCCATCCAGCCTCTCTTTTACCCCACCCCCCACCCTCCCTCCCTTCCTCCTTTCCGAGATTCAAAAGGGATTGTTCACAACATCTTGCATTCTGCGACTAAGGCACGGGCTAATACATTGCAAGCTGTCCCAGGTATGGCGATGTGTTTCCGGCGTACGCCGCAAATCAGCTCTACATTTCAGTACGGCTTTTTAGTGCAAAAAGTAATCGCCCGACCGACACCTTATCTCTCGAATTGTGTCCCTTAATTTCCAGACTCAAGTAAAGCGTACACGCTCAGCCCACCCCCGTTTATCCACTGTGTTGGTACTGTCTTAAATGTCAGACCCCGTAAGACGTATGGATCTCCCTCCCTCTTCCCGTTTCCGCCTTCCCTCCTTCCTTTCTCTCCCTCCCCTTTCCTCCCTCCCTTGTGAAGCCTGTCCCGCTGCTTTGTTATAATGCTTGGAGCTGTCTACAGTTTCTTCTCTCTGATTTTTCTGCTGTAGGAATGCAGTTTTTATGAAAAGCGGCAAAAAAAAAGCCTGATTTTTTTTCCCCCTTGTTTAAAATATTTTAATGGTGTGGCCCTTCCTCTCCGAAAGTTTAAACCACGATATTAGGCTTTTGGAAGAAAAGAGAAGGAACCCCCCCCCCCCCACAGATGGGAGGTGCTCCTTTATAGCAGCATATGGTAAGCAGCCAAAAGTGTTGTATTGCTTGAGTAGAAAAGGATCAAGAGAAAGTTAGGTGACAATAGCAAATGGCGTATTTAGCAGCATAAGCCGGTACAATGTATAAAGAAATGTATTCTGGAATACATTCTTTCAATTCATTTAGCACAAATAAATGGTTTGTTTCACTTGGCGGTGGAACGAAGTCTCTCTTTTTTACCCCCCCTTTACTTGAGGTTTCTGCTTGCTGACTTTGGAAAAGTCCCCTTACACAGGTGTTTAAGAGAGTACGAAACAGGACACAGTGAGCTGTATTTTTGTCATACTTAAACCCAGGCTTTAAAAAAAAAAAAATCTTGACTCGCCACATTTGCATGGTTTCATGTTTTCCTTTATGAAATGGACATTAGACACTGAAGGCATAATCCAGGGCTTTTCAACCTTTTCACCCATTGTACCACTTTTAGCATATGGCAACATCCGAGTACCACCGGGTCGCCTAGCAAGGTATCAAAAACTTGATGAGGCCCCCCACCCAAAGGAAAAAAATGATAAAGTACAGGTAGTCCTCGATTTACAACAGTTCACTTAGTGACTGTTCAAAGTTACAATGGCATTGAAAAAAGTACCCCCCAAGCCACAGCCAAGCAAGACACCTGCCTGCCGGCCCGGCCACACTTTTCCTCCTTTCCGAGGTTTTCATTGTTGTGAGCATTTCTATTGAGGATTGGCAGTGGGGGTGGGGTGGGGGGTGTTTGGTTTTTATTCCCCCGTCTGCTGGGTGGTTGCAGCAGGTTTTGGTCCCTTCACATGACCCTGGGACACTGTGACCGCCATAAATATGAATCAGTGGCCAAGCCTCTGAATGTAAATCACAAGGCCCTGGAGATGCTGCAACATTCCAGCTGATCGGCGCTTTTTCTGGGCTCAGCGGAAGCACCAGGATCAGTGCTACTTTCCAGCTAATTGGTGCTTCTTCAGGGCTCAGCAGAAGCATCAGGATCAGCGCCGAGTTCCAGCTGGAGCCTGGCGCTGATCTTGGCACTTACACTGAGCCCTGACAGCCCCGAAGAAGCACTGATCCTGGTGCTTCCGCTGAGCCCTGACAGCCCTGCAGCTCCAGCCATCTCTCGCTCAGGCTTGTGCGGTGCTGCCACTGGTTCAGCTCATTCCCCTCCCCCACTACCACTTTTCTAGGATGGTCGCGTACCACCTGCCAGGTGCCAATGTACCACAGGTGGTATCTGTACCACTGGTTGAAAAGCCCTGGCGTAATCCCTTCAAATGCTTTGAGCACCGCAGCTACTTCTTAATTTTTGTTTGAAAGTCTCGAGCACAGGTTTAAAGATTTCCCCTGCCTAGTCGTGAACGACACAAGGGGTGTGTGTGTGCTCCTCTCTAATTCTCAGCCGACGAAGCCTGCGTTGTCCGAGAGATGCTTCTGTTCATCCTGTGGCCAGCATGAAGCTGGTAACTTTCAGCCGAAGTGCTACCTTATTTAGCTACCGTATTTTCCGGCGTATAAGATGACTTTCTAAAGTGTGGAAATTGGCGCCGAAGTCGGGGGTCGTCTTATACGCTGAGTCGTCTTGTACACCGGAAATTAAGGTAGTTTCTGACGTATAAGATGACTTTCTAGGCATGGAAATCGGCACCGAAGTCGGGGGTCGTCTTATACGCCGGAAATTACGGTACTCACATTTGCATGCTTTCAAGCTGCCCCATTGGCAGGAGCTGGGGTTAGAGTTAGGGTGCTTACCCCATCACGCAGCACTCAGGACTCAGACCCAGGCTGTCGGCTTCCCAGCTGACAAGCCCAGGATTTTAACCAAGTTGGTCTGCTTCAGCATTTCTGGTGACTGTGACTTTTAGAGGCAGATACCTAACTTAAAAGTATTTTGGGGGTCGCCTTAAGGGGCCAGGCTTGGGTTTAATTTGTGCAGTGTTTGAAATAGTTACCCTAACATATCGGCTTTCCTGGGCAAATATATACATCCTAAAATAAGTCTTATAAAGCCTGAAAAGCGGTGCACGGTTCTCTCCCCCTCCCAACACGGCAAACAAAAAGTCTAGCATGTGTTCGAAAGTCACTTTCAGATTGTCAGGCGTACATGAATCCAACACCTGGGGGAGGGGGCAAGGCCAAAAAGTGTGGCTTCTGAAAGTCAAGAGATTGTGCGGAGGAATCAGAGGAAGACAATTTGTGATGTGTAAATGCGAGAGTAGGGAGACAGGCATCTTAGCTCGGATGTAACGCTAGACTTCAGCTTTGGTTCTGCTTTGGTTGACTGGTTGGTTATTTTAGTTGGTGTGGCTGGTGGGCAAAATTAGGGACCTCCTGGTGGGCAAGCCGATGATCCTTTTGAGGTGGGTGAGCCTGGCTTAGTCCTCCAGCTTTCTGCATGGCCACCTGCAAGCAAAAAGTACCGTATATTCCAGCGTATAAGACGAGCCGGCATATAAGACGACCCCCGTCTTCGGCGCCGAGTCGCATGCCTAGAAAGTCGTCTTATACGCTGGAAACTACTGTTATTTCTGGTGTATAAGACAACTGGGAGTATAAGACGACCCCCAACTTCGGCGCTGATTTCAACGCTTTCAAAAGTCGTCATAACGCTGGAAAGTACGGTAGATCCTGGTAAGCTAGAGATAACTGTGGGTCCAATCAAACAATTTCCCCCATGCGGCTTTAAGGTGGGGTCCATTCACTGGGCTGCTGAAATAAAAACAGACTAGAGCGAATGCTTGCCTCCAGTGCCACAAGAGTGTCAAAAAAGGTGTTACACAACATTAAATTTCCTCTCTTAAAGTGGCAACCACAGACCCTTGTCTTTTTTTAACCTTGCCTCTAAGCCACTTCTGCTCCTGCAGTGAGAATCATCAGAATATTTTGTGTGCTTTTTTTTTTAACAGGAGAATTTGATGGCACGGAAAAGCATTTGGAGAAAATTAATTGGCTCTGTGTATCGCGCAGAGGATTAATTCTGTGGCTTACATTTTGGGCCAAAGTCCAAGTAGCCATTAGCGTTTGTACCTTCTCTGTTTGGCTTGGGCCTTTCTGCCCTCATCCCCAAGACTTCCCTGATCTCAACGTTCAGAGTAGGGGACTCTCTAAAAAAGGAACTTTCTTGAGAACGCCCTCCACCCACTCCTTCCTTTGGAGTTCCAGAGGTGTTGTGTGGATGGTGACTGCCTCCAGCAAGGCTAGTGAACCTGCATCCTTGGAGTTATCCTGCGCCCGTCACCACTTCAGTTGCTGTGCTGAAGGGTCAAGTCCTTGGAGAAGGGGCAGGGGCTGTTTGAATCATGAAACCCAAGAGCCAAGGCCTTCATTTAATATAACCCAAATAGGTGGATCCTGGACCAGAAGGGATGAGCCTTATCCTTCCTTGGTGTTTTCCGGGAAGCTGCAGATCCACAGCTTCGTTTGGTTGCCCTCGTTTGGCCAACCAGATTTTGAAGCTTCCTTCCTTTAAGATAATCCAGCTAGGCCACGGGTTGGCCACCTTGGCTCTTTTATGACTCGTGGACTTCAACTCCCAGAATTCCTGAGCCAGCCATGCTGAGGGGAAAGGGAGAGGCTTCCAAGCTGAGCCATGGCTGGCTCAGGAATTCTGGGAGTTGAAGTCCACGCGTCATCAAAGAGCCAAGGTTGCTTACGTCTGGACTAGGCCTAGGCCGCTTTCTGACTCGTGGACTTCAACTCCCAGAATTCCTGAGCCGGCATGGCTCAGCTTTGAAGCCTCTCCCTTTCCCCTCAGCATGGCTGGCACAGGAATTCTGGGAGTTGAAGTCCACGAGTCATAAAAAGAGCCAAGGTGGCCTACCCCTGAGCTAGACTGTATTTCTATGATTTTTTTAAAATAAAAAGACATATTTCCTACCCACTGAGTGTTTTCATGGAGAAAATCCCTATATCCTTGGATATAGTTCTGATTTCCTACCTGCAGTTAAGAAGCCGCTGTTCTCTTGATCTAAACTGGCACTGCCTGTTTCCAACCCGGTGAGGTAGAAAAAGGGTTGTTTACCTTGGCTTGGCTAGGGAAGGGAAGTTGGCAGCAGGCAGAAAGACATAATTGCTTTTCCGAAACGGTCATGGAAACCCCATAACCTCCTCCTGAACTGCTCATACAGTGGTTCCTTTTGTTCTCCTAGACAATTTAAGCCACAAGTGCCACCGAAGTGATGCATTGTGTTAAGGAAGCCAACATAGGATTGACAAACAGCGAGCTGTGGGGTTTTCGTCGTCTCCTAATCGTGCTATCCTTCCTTCTCCTGCGAGTTTGGAAAGAAGTATACTAGCGCAGCGATCCACGACCTGGTCCTTGACATTAATAATAATAATTTTATTTATTTATTTATTTATGAGACTTATATACCGCTTTAAGCGCAAGCACTCTCTAAGCGGTGTACACCAGTAAGCAATGTATATATATATATTTACATTTCCCCCAACAATCTGGGTCCTCATTTTACCTACCCCGGAAGGATGGAAGGCTCAGTCAACCTTGAGCCGATGAGATTTGAACCACTGACCTGCTGAACACAGTCAGCTAAAGTGGCCTGCAGTACTGCACTCTAACTGTTGCGCCACCTTATCTAAGAACATTATGCCACCCTCTAGACACACAGAATGCACGGTCCTTTTGCACTCAGTGGCCTCTTGTGCAAAGACATTGACAATGAAGGCCACAAGGGAGAGGTCTTCTCCAAGGAACAACAGAATCCAGGCATAAAACACCGGAGAAGGCTCTGTAGTGAGAGATGATGATGATGATGATGATGATGATGATAAAGTTGGAAGAGACCCTGGAGGTCATCTAGTCCAACCCCCTGCTCAGGCAGGAAACCCTATACCATTTCAGACAAATGGCTGTCCAGTCTCTTCTTAAAAACTTCCAGTGTTGGAGCATTCACCATTTCTGGAGGCAGGTTGTTCCACTGGTTAATTGTTCTCACTGTCAGGAAGTTTCTCCTTAGTTCTAGGCTGCTTCTCTCCTTGATTAGTTTCCATCCGTTGCTTCTTGTCCTGCCTTCAGGCGCTTTGGAGAATAGCTTGACTCCCTCTTCTTTGGGGCAGCCCCTGAGATATTGGAATACTGCTATCCTGTCCCCCCTCGTCCTTCATTAAACTAGACATACCCAATTCCAGCAGCCGTTCCTTATATGCTTTAGCTTCCAGTCCCCTGGTCA